TTTAACATTTTCTAATGGTGGTGTGCCTCGTGATTTTTTTCATGAAAAAAGTGTGCCTTTGCACAAAAAAGGTTGAAAAACACTGCTCTAGATGACCAGAAGAGCATATCAGTTCTAATAAAATGTTGTCCGATATATGCCATCTGTGTACCATAAAGGCCTACTCTAAGGAATAGTATGCTTAGGAATTTTTTTTACCTTCACAAGATGTGGAGCATCTTGCCTGTTGAGTTGGTACTGAGGCAACTGATCGCAGTGAACTATCCATGGGTGCCTTAGAACTTGAGCAGCAGTCAGTCTCTGATGAGGGTCAACATGAAGCATTTTCGAAACTAAGTCCTGTAAACAATTAGTTAAATTGCACAAGTTTTATAAAATAATAAAATGATGGATTTGATTCAGATGTATTAAACAACATTTCAGATTAGAAAGGATACCTCAGTCTTTGATGAAGGGATTTTTTGTAATCAGAGTATGAGAGAATTTTGTAACGTACTTATATTTGCTGCAAAAGAAACCAGAACCTTCTATTTTTTTCCTTTCCAATTATTTCTTTCTGTGCTTTTTCTTTTTTTCTTTCTTTACAGCTTAAGCTTTATTAGTTTGTGATTTTATGTGCTTTACAAAGCTTTAATAAAGATTATTTTAAAAAATGCCCTGGTAAGGTATTGCACTTAATTGCATAAATGGAGACAAGGGATATAAAAAGGAAACAGGAAATAAAAGAACCAAATACTGAGCATGGGAATTAAAAATGGCCATTTTTGTGGCATTCCTTCCCCTACACACACAAAAACTAAAAAGCAAAGTACTTCAATCACTAATATCAGGAGAAGGCTATATAAACTATTAAGCTTTATTCCTAATAATAGCCTAATTATTTCATTGTACTGTAAAGCCAGTTTGCTGTAATGACTAAGGCATGGTATATTTATCTACAGACCCACCACATATCTACCAAGATGTAGATATTTAAAATATCTACTGATCCCTCACATCATGGACATAAAATGTTTCAACTTCTCCCTTCAGAATGCCTCTATAGGACACTACAAGCAAAAACTAGATACAAATATAGTCCCGCCACCCCCATCAATCACTTTGCTGAACACCTAATTTCCACAGTACTGTCTTAGGCCTAACAATATGTATTCATGTAGTAGTCTGTAATTGCTATTATCCATCTCATTTTCTCATCTTCTCATTTCTCATCTTTACTACTACCTTCTCCTATTGGTATCTTACGATTTATCACTTATTGTTTGTATTTTAGGATTAATGATTGTAACTATGATTTTTTTTATCTATGACCTATCACTTTGTTGTTTATATCAGCCTGACCTCAATACTAGGAAAGTTTCTGGAAAAGATAATCAAGTAATGNGGGCCGTTATTGGGAGGTTTGCAGAGTGCAAAAACTTTTTTTCCCTTTTGGAAAGCTCTTTAACTAATTGATGAGAATTACATTGATCAAGTGCTGTGCCAGCAGAAACAACTACCTATCTACTGTATTTCTCTCTCTCTCTATTTCTCTCTCTCCCTTTATCTACCTATCTACCTAACCCTCTCTCTCCCTACCTATCTACTGTATTTCTCTATATATTTCTCTCTATCCCTCTACCTATCAACCTACCTACTCTCTCTCTCCCCCCCTACCTATCTACTGTATTTCTCTCTCTATCTTTTTCTCTCTCTATCCCTCTGCCTACCTATCTACACACTCTCTCTCTTCCTACCTACCTACTATATTTCTCTACCTCTATTTCCCTTTCTCTTTCTATCCTTTTATCTACCTCCCTCCCTCCCTACCTAACTACTCTCTCTCCCTCCCTCCCTCCCTACTGTATTTCTCTCTCTTTCTCTCCCTCTCTATCCCTCTATCTACCTAATTACTTTTTTTTTAAAAAAATTGCCTCTTCAAAACTTTGGTGCATCTTATAGGTATGTCTTATACGAAAAATACAATATATTAGAGGACTAGTCATAACATATATTGGAAAGAAAAATAAAAAGAAGAAACAAAAGCAAAAAAATACTAGAAAAAGAATATAAGAGATTATAGTCTGATTTCTTTACTGAATACCGATTATAAAATATTTGCTTCAATAATTGCAGAAAAGAAGATTCCTAAACCAGTTTATTCATTCAGATCAAAATGGTATTTTTACCTAAGATACAAATTAAAGATAATATGAGAATAATCTTAAATACATTGGAATATTAGGAAGCACACCCAGAGAAGCAAATGGAATTGGTCTTCCTAGATGCACAGAAAGCATTTGATAATGTAAACTGGCAATTTATGCTAACACAATTCAAAGACATGGACTTTGGGGAGAGATTAACATGATCAAGGTGATATATTATAAATAAAATGTAAAGATAATAGTAAATGGAGATGTGACTAAGAAGATTAATATTAAGGTACAAGACAACGATGTCTCCTGTCCCCCCTGTTATTTATAATGACAAGATCAAATTAAAGTACATCACTCTATACATAACTCTGGGAACTTTAATTATATTAGACAAATACTCCAAAGTCAAAACAAACTATATTAAAATGTCCAAACCTCCATGGCCTGCTGGTGTAGCCAAGTTTTAATGGCCTTCCTTTTAAGCCAATAGCGTAGGATTGACTTCCTTAACAGAAGTAAACAATTACTGATTTTGTTCCTTAATAATGAAAGATTTATTATAGGGAAAATGCCTTCAATGGATCATTGACTAAGAAAATCTTAAATGTAAAAAATTTCAAAGCATTGCTAGAAATGGAAATGGTAGCAATACAGGTAGTCCTTGTTTAACAATGGTAATTGGGACTGGAATTTCGGTGGCTAAGCAATGCCATCATAAGACATGATGTCACATGCTTACTGATGGCAATTCTAGCAATTCCCAGTTACTGTTAAGTGAGGGCAGCACAAGTTTTTAAGTGAGAACTTAACATGATCATAACTTCCTGCTTCCTGTCAGCTTCCCTATTGACTTTGCCTTGTGGGGAACGAGCACTGCAGGTCACTTGCAATCAAGTAACCATGGGACACCATGATGTTCGGGAGATACAGGCTGGTTCTGAGATCACAATCACATGGTCAAGGGGTGCTGCAAAGGTCAGAATTTCAAGGACCAATTGTAAGTGCAACTCATTCAATACTGTTGGTAGTTCAAATATTCACTGAACAAATGGCTGTTAAATGAGACCTCCTGTAATGGAAAAAAATAAGGGGGCAAACTGCAGATTAAAATATAGCAAACAGAATGTTTATTCGTTTTAACTATTTTTATAGCTCAAAGGAGCTCAAAGGAGCTATAAAAATCACAAAGGATTATACAAAAGAAATGTTTAAAAATTGCAAATGAATTCCCTAATTGGTGCTACCATGTAGTCATTCACTGAGACTAAAAACATACTGAAATAAAGCAGTTTTGTTTCCAGAAAACTAACACAACAGGGTCTATCTTCCTCTGGAGAAAAGTCCCATAGAATGGGGGTTACTGCAGAGAAGCCTGCCACCTTATCCACTTCCATGTACATTCTTAGCAGGTATTCTCTAGATCAGTGTTTTTCAACCACTGTGCCGCGGCACACT